TGGGGCTGCTGATGGATGCTGTTGAGCACTTGCTCTGTCTGCCATGTCCTGTCCTGTGGGACTATGCTTTGGTCAATGAGGTGCTGCCTGGGCTATGGTCATCCTCAGAATCCAGCCTGTCCCCTCATCCATCAGCTGGGTATTGCTGGCCCTGCCCATGGCATCTAAACAGAAGGTAAGGACTTTCTTCAAGCTCGTATCTTTCCTCTATTTTCAAACACAGTGGTACACTTCTTGGGCTTTACTCAGTCTCAATCCATTTTTAAGGCAATAGTATTGCTTTTCAAACACCATTGCTTCATGGGACTGAATGTACCACTGCACTGTGCAACGTTTTAGAAAGCACTTAAATTAATTGCAGGTGGTTGATGTTGAAATTCAAAACAGCAAGGAAAAAAGGGATGCTGATTGAGCTTCTCTCACTTCAGGAAGCCATGACAGTACCTGCTGCACTCCTTTAGATATTGCCAGCTGTAAGGGTGAGGCTGTGGGGTGCACTGATACTATGCCCAAAACACAAAATGGTATTCATTAGCCTTATTTTCAGCATCTTTAATTTATATGTTTAAATCTGAACAAGTTACAATTTCCCCTACACTCAATGAAGACAGAATTCAGAGGGCGAGTCCTGTCACTTTAAAAGAGGTGCTTATGGCAGGTTATACAAATTGCTGTCCAGGGTTATTCACTTGACTGTGAAGGATTCCAGGGTGTTGGGATCAGATTTTTATCTCATTTTTAGGTTTCTCAAGTTAGATAATATAAACCCCCGGTGCTATATAAACCCAGATGGTATTAACTTAGGGTGCTAGATTCACAAAGAACATGCAGGCATCTAAATGTCTCTTTATTCACCAAAGTCCCACATGAGGGACCCCTATCTAGCCCTTCAAGTGCTTACATTTTTATCACATATAGTGGAATAATTTCTCTCCAATCCACGTTAAAAAGTGGTTCTTCAACTCCAGGTGAAGCAGAAGAAAATGCTTTGTGTCCATAGTGTTCTAAGGCCAAGATCCCACCCAGCATATCAGCTGGGGTACTCTGAAGTGTGACAGCAGTTGCTTTAGCCCTTGTACCTCTGCAACACAAGACCCCCTCACATGCACTATGAATACTCTCAGCTCATTTTCTTGAGACTACATCAACATGCTCTACACAAGGAAGTACCCTCTCTGCACACTTTCAGCTGCTCTTTTGCTGTAGCTGCATAAACAGCATGTGTGCTGCTGCTGCAGTTCCTCCTTTCCTTTTTTTTCTTCCCTTGGAATAGCTTGGAGAGGCTGTGACCTAGAATGGAGCAATACTGGGCAGATGATGTTGGCATCTTGAAGGCAACTGTACTGCAAGACTGCATGGGAATGGGAAGGGTTTTGTGAAAATCATGTCCATTAATCTCCCCTCTCAGGCAGTGACTTTGATTTGGGTCATAGCCCAGGCTTGGTTTCCCCTTTGTCAAGGGAAGGTTTGAAGCCAAGGGACTAAGTACATGCTAGTGTGACCATATTGTCCTATTTACTCTGAGCAACCCGCAGCCCTTAGAAATGAACAGTCTGTTCTGCCTCAGCTGGGAGCTGGTGCCCACTCAGGAAGAGAGGGAGCCAGCTGTGCCATTGGAAGCCGTTCCCAGCTATGTTCGAAAGATCACGGTGACTCGGGGATGTTCCTGAAAGCTGGGCAAAAGCAAATATCACTTCTATCATCAGGGCAAGGCAGATACAGCCATCTGAAAACACATGAAGGGCAAGAAGGTGATTAGTAGTAGGCAGTGAACACAAAGTCATGCCTGGCAAACATCCCAGCAGGGAAATGATCCACCTGCTAGTCATCTATGATGAGGGAAGAGCAGTGGATGTTTCCCTGGACTTTAGCACAGCTTTTCAAGTTCTTTCCCATAACATTCTCAGAGAAACTGGTGAAGTACCAACTTGGTGAGGGGGCAGTGAGGTGGGTGGGACACTGGCTGAACTGCCAAGCTCAGTGGTTTGTAATCAGTGGCACAGTCCTGCTGGAGGCCAGTCATTAATGGTGTTCCCCAAGCTTGGAACTGGGTCCAGCTGTTTGATATCTCCATTACTGATAAGGCTGAGGGGACTGTGTGCAACCTCAGCAAGTCTGCAGAAGATACAGAATTGGGAGAGTGGGGGAGCCTCCAGATGATTGTGCCACCACTTACAGGGACCTTGACAGGCTGGAAAAATGGGCATAGAAGAACCTCATCAAGTTCAAAGGAAGAACAACCCCATGTATCAGTATGAGCTGTTGGGCTACTGGCTGGAAGACAGCATGAGAGAAAAGGACCTGGGTCCTGGTGGCCAGCAGCATTCCCTGCGGACAGATTGGTCAGCAGTGTCCCAGGCTGTGTTAAGCAGAGTGAGGGAAGCAATCCTTCCCTCTGAGCACTGGCTGATCACAGCTGGTGGAATCAGTTCTGGGCTCCTGGGTATAAGAAAGACCTGGATTGACTAGCATCAGTCCAAGGAAAAGCTGCAAAGATTGTGATTCAAGGAGATGTTATGATCCCTGTGCAAAACCCCTCAGATAAGACACTCCATATCAGTTCAGCAGCTGCGATTAGACTAGTGTGTGAAACCTGCCCGAGGGTTATTCACAGGCATGAGACTGCATGGCACAGACTGCACAAAATGGTGATTCTACCCACACTGCTGAGCAGGAATGGCCCCTATCCCACACAAGATGCCCAGACCATGGGACAACAAGCTCAATGAGCGAACAGCGTGCAGATGCAGCAAAGAAAGCCAACAGGATGCTGGGGAACATCAAGAAGGGCATCACCAGCAGAGATAAAGTAGTCATCATCTCACTCTACTTGGCACTTGTCAGGCCACACCTGTGTGAATTGTGTTCAGTTTTGGTCCCCACTATACAAAAACGATGTGGACAGGCTGGAGAGGGTCTAAAGAAGGGCCACAAAGATGATCCGAGCACTGGGCAGCCATGTGAGGAATGGCTGATAGAGCTGGGCTTGCTCAGCCTGGAGAAGAGAAGGCTCAGGGCAGACCTTATCCCCTTGTTCCAGTATTTAAATGATGGCTACAAACAAGATGGAGATTCCCAAGTTACTCCTGGGAAATTCTGACTGGACACAAGAGGAACATTTTTCACAATGATAACAACCAGACACTGGAATAATCTCCCCAGGGACGTGGTGGACTCTACAGCATTGGACACAGGATTTGACTCCATAGGGTGCTGGGACATCTAGTCTAGATCATGTTTTGCCTAGAAAGGTTGGACCACACGGTCCTTGAAGTCCCTTCCAACATGGGATTCTAGGATTCTGTGATTCTACGATTCCATGTTTGGAAGGATAGTTAATTGGGCTGAAGCTCATACATACAGACAACCAAATTCCAGTGCCAATGCCTACATACTGCTGCTACTTAATTTACTACTATAGATGCAGCCAGCAGAAAAACTCTCCACGCCACCTCTGCCTAATCTGGTTCCAGTGCCGCTACTGGGCCTGACTCCAGGATTCAAGAAAGAACACTTACTATCATGTGCACATGTATAGCTCAGAATAAACACTAACACAGCACTAGCTAGAACATCTAAGCAGGGCTTTTTTCCTCTCATTTTCCTGTTCCCTCGTGACAAAGTATCTCCCTCCCACACATGCAAAATGTTAGTAGTCCCTCCTCTCCACATACACTCTAAGAATCCCATTTCTTTCCTACAGGCACAGAAAACGTTTTGCAGAAGGAACCATGGCATTTCCACACAGGGAGACCGATCAGAAGACCGCACGCACAGCCTGGAACAGATGCCTGTCCTCTCCAACCCTCCTCAGAAAACACTGCTGTGACTGTTTGTACTACGCCTGGTTGCCAGCAAGCCAAGCTGTAACGTAGCTGATTGCTATGCAATAGCATCATCCAGCCTGACACAGATGGTCAAAGAATGGAGCAGAGGAGATTGTCATGTGAAAAATTTGCCATTCCTTTGTTGGAGAATGCTGGAAGACACAGCAGGGTGCTTTCGGAAGACTCCCCTGGTGTGCAAGTGACACATTCTTGAAGTGCACAGTTCCAGGCCCTCCCAAACAGGGATGATGGCTGTTGAAGGTACAGCCACAGCACGACCCAAGGCACTACACCAGTGTCTGACCCCCAGCACAGGAGCCTGCAGACTGCCATCCATGGTGATGGCTGCTGAGGGGCTGGCTGTGTGCTCACTGCTGAAGGTTCTGTCCTGCACCCTAACCTCACCCCCTGAGGCTTTTCTGATCAGGCAGGGCCCAGCCTGGTCCTGAAACTTGCCAATGCTCCTGTGACCACAGCTCAGAACATGGGAGTACTGCAACGACTGGCTCTGTGGGGCTTGATACCTATATATATATATATATGTATGTATACAAACACACTCTGCGCTTGCCTTTCCACGGTCGCAGCAGCGCCATGAGCGCTCTACCACAGCCCACCCGTGCCGGGCTTCTCCCTGTCCCACTGCAGGTCGCTCTCGGGCTCCCGGCACTAAAACGCCGTTAAGAAGCCGCCTCCTCGCTCCACGCAGCTCTAGAGGCACCGCAGGGGGGCCCCGGACCCGGCAGCATACCCCGACCCCGCTCCCGTCCCCTCAGCTGCGGGTGCTGCGCCTGCGCCCTGCGCGGGAAACAAGAAACGCGCGGAGAAGCCGGCGCCGCGCGCTGGGGCGGCCACGGGAGCGCGCGAGGCGGTGCTGGCCGCTGATTGGCTGGAAAGCGCGAGCGCTCCGAGGGGCTCGTCGGCGCAAGGGGAGCGCGCGCGGGCTTTAGCCACCGATTGGCTGAGGGACACGGGGAGCGCGCGGAGGGAGCGCGCGCACGCACGCACGTCCGCCGCCGCCGGTGGAGAAGAGTCTGCCTCGTGATTGGCGGCCGGGCGGTGTCGCAGGGAGCGGGAGGGGATAGGAGGGTCAGCTGATTGGTTGAGAGAGATGGTGGGGGTGAGGCGGTTACGGTCTCAGATTGGAGAGAGTGCGCGCGCCCTCGCGGAGGCGTGCTCGGATTGGCTGGGCGGTGCGAGGCGGCCGGGGACCGTTGGAGTAGGGAGGCTGAGACGTTTGGCCACCCGTGCCCGCAGAGCCGGCGGCGTGGCGGCGAGCGGCGAACCGAGACTGGGCAGTCCCGGGACCCCCACCCCGATCGCCGCCCCCGGGAGAGGTGCGTGCTTGGCGGGACGCAGGCAGGCGCTGGCGGGGGCAGGCGGGCCCTCTGCGAGCACCGCTACCGCCTGCGGGGTGGAAGGGTACGGGGCCCTTCAGGGCGGAGGGTGCCCTGTTCCGCCGCTAACCGGGCAGGTTGCAGGGACCGGCGGGCAGGCAGGCCCGGAGCGCGCCCCTCCTGCCTGCGAAGTCCTGGCGGTAGCGCAAGCTAGAGCCCCTCGCGTCAGCCCCAGGAGCTGCGGGTGCGGTAGCGGGGCTTGCCGGTCTCCGGGCCTGGCGCAGAGGAAGTGCCGAGCGAGCGCCCTGCGGGAGGCCTGGGATAGAGGAGAGCTGACACTCCTAAGCGGGCCCTGGATACCTTGGAGAGAGCCCCGCGGATTTACCTGCCCCAGGCTCCGCGCCGCAGCTCCCCATGGGGAGGCTGTTGGCTGGCAGCGGGAGAGTCCTGGCGCCCGAACGATGCTGGCTGCGCCTCACGGCTCGTCTTGGAGCAGGCAGATGCTCGCGTAGACGCAGAATCTGCGGGCTTCTTTTCTGTGTAATTAAGAGGATACGCAATGAGGGTAAATGTAGCATAATCATAGCTGTAACTGCAAAATAGCAAGGGTAGATGTTATTTTCCTGTGTAAAAACACGGCTTTATCGATGAAACCCCCCCAACCCAACTCAGTTTTTATTTCTCTCTCCCTCCCTATCTTTTTAGATTGTCTTTAAATGTTTGAAGAAGGAACTGAGCCCAGGAAAGTGGAAGTTGCCCTGAGAGACTTCTCAGTGTAATCCAGGTAATGTGATCTGTTGTGACTGCCTTGGGTATTGAGCTTAAAAACTTATATTATCTAACCGATTTCAGATGCCTGTTTCTCACACTTGCATAACTGATGTTGAAACTCTTTCATTTATGACAAACTTTTGGTATGAAGTAGTGATTACTGCAGTTTATGTGAAGTATTGCACATGTAAAAATATTCCCATGTGAGGTGCAATCTTGTATTTAAAAAACCCCACACAATGACATTCTTGTGCAACAGATCCCTCAGCTGGGGATGGTGAAGCTGGTGGATATTCTTTTGGAGACCTAGGGGAATCTCACTGGTGGTAGCACATCAGCAAAGTACTTTCTTCTTTTAGAGGGCTTGGTAAGCCACTGAGAATGGGCTGGATAGCACAAGGATACTTTGAAAGTTGTTTCTGTGCTGCTTGATAGAATGTGCCTAATAGATTTGAATTGTTAAAGTTAGAATTTGGTCTATAGTTGTGCGTTACTGCCTTCTAAATGCTTTGTACTGTTGGTTTTCTTTTCTTACTGTGGTTCCTAAAGCTGACTGTATTGACTGAGGGCCACAAAGATGCTCTGGGGCCTGGAGCTCCTCTGCTGTGGAGACAGGATGACAGAGCTGGGCTTGTTCAGCGTGGAGAAGAGAAGGCTCCAGGGAGACCTTAGAGCAGCTTCCAGTGCTTTAAGGGTCTGATAAGAAATTGGAGAGGTGCTTTTGGCAAGGACCTGTAGGGACAGGACAAGGGGGAATGGCTTTGAAGCGACAGAGGGGTGATTTAGATTAGATACTAGGAAGAAGGTGAGGCACTGGCCCAGGTTGTTCAGAGAAGCTGTGGCTGCCCCATCCCTGGCAGTGTTCAAGGCCAGGTTGGATGGGGCTTTGAGCAGTCTGGTCTACTGGAAGGTTTCCCTGCCTGTGCAGGGGTTGGAACTATATGAGCTTTAATGTCCTTTCCAAGCCAAACCATTCTGTGATTCTATGATGCTCTGTTTGGTGTGGCTGCCCAGTGACAAAACACTCCATATGCCTGAACCAGTAGTTCAAAAAGGCAGAAGTCTCAGGTTTTAAAAGCTGGCAAATGCTGGATTGAAGAATTGGGGTTTTTTTTCTTCCCACTTTCTTTTCCTTGGTAAGTATATATCCAGAGTCTCCTGGGTAGTATCATGAAGTACACCCAAAGGAAATGTGGTAACCCAAAAGCATTGCTTTAAGGCTGTTGCTTTTTTGCGTTTCCTCTTCTCCAAAGAGTATTTTGGATTCATGGGGAGTTTAGATAAAAGAGCAGACCTCCTACTGATGTGAGGACTTCCTTTTTGGGGATGGGGGAGAGTAGAATTAATCACTAGCAGTGTAAGGGACAGTGAGCAGTAATTCCTCTCCCCAGAACATGGGCACTTTGCAGAGGCTCTCCATGGAGAGTGGTACAGTCTTTTCTGAAGTTCTTTTCCAGATTAGTCAATTCATGTCATGTTTCCAGCAACATCATTCCCTTGATCCTTAAATTCTTGCTGTGGTTTTGTCGGACCAGGATTCTGCTCCAGAGGTAGCTTGCTTAGGTCACTGCCTTCAGCATATTGTCCTGATTGAACCCTGTGGGTTTCTGCTTTGTGTCATTATCATACACGAGATTCTTATCTTTGTTTTGAGGCTGTTTGATATATTCCCAATCTACTACTGAGCTCAGCACTAAGAAGGTTGCTCCCTGCTTTGGTGTTTGAGATGCCAGTTTGACTACTTGTTACATGAGCTCACATTTATGAGGGCACATCCAGCAGACCTCTGTGTAAGCACCTTATGACACCCCCCTCATTGTTCATTAAAGTTCTTGTGATGAATTGTCTCAAAGTTGCTGCGTTTTCACTGGTTATTTTAGAATGATAAATTCCTTTATACACTGTGTTGCAGCCAGTACATTCAGGCATCTGGTTTATCACAGAACCTACATGTTTGAATATTAATATGAATTTTAAGAAGCGATGAATGGTATAGAAAACTTCAGAAGAAGCTGTAGTGCAAAGGGCAAGAGCTTTTGCATTATCATAAAGGCACAATTTTTCCATCAGTTTAATTATATTATGTACCAGTACCAAAGGGTGGCATTAGGAGTAATAACTACAGTTCTCTGTAGCCATGGCTGTGTGTTACCTATTGTTAGTTCTGCCAGCTGACAGGTTTGGAAGAGGGAGAAAGTGAAGTCTTGAGGTTTAAACCAAGGACTCTGGGATTAGTTGTTTCATTAACCAGCCTGTACTTTGGCTGCGTGCTTCGGAGGGCCTGGCATCATCTGCCTGATCTGTTACAGGCTTCCACAGAACCCAGCTGATGTATTCAAATACAGCACTTTTTGCAAATAATTCACTAGGTCTCCTTTTGAAAGGAAAAGTAAATAATTCTCTTAGCTCAGACATGGTAGTGTGGAGACACTGCCCTGTAGTTACAGAATGCATCACCTGGGAGTCACAATGACAGTTCCCCAGCAGGTGTGAAGGGCTGGCTTTCAGCATTCCACACACAGCACAGTCTCATTCTCTGACTGTTATCTATCTATGCTTCTTTCTTTTACTGGTTTCAGGGTTAGGTTATCTGGTGATAAGGGTTTGAATTCACAATGTTTGTATCAGGTTAATTTTTTTTCCCCTTTTTTTTCTCTTGACTATCAGGGAAAAGAAATTGTGATTGTATTGTGTATATTTGGTTTAGTGTTTAAACAGGTTTTTACCAGTAAACTGTGGCTAAACTTAAATGGTTTCATGGGCCTTTACCATTCCTGTGGCTTTCAAGGGCTACTGGAAAGAATGAAAGTATTTAAACTACTTAGCTGTGCTAAAGTAATACATATTTATAAAAATACTTGCACCAATGGAGGTGAATTTTAGGACAATTGGATATGTAAAGTGTGTACTCTAGTTACAAAACACTTAAAATCTCAATAACTCTAAGTAGTTACTGTCTGCCTGCAAGTGTGAGTTGTTTTTTAGTCTTTGAGTCTTGCTGCTTTGAAGTGCAGTTTTTTTACTTCATTTAAGAAATGAAGGAGTGAAGAGGGTATTCTGCTATAACACAAATGGGGAAAGAGCCTAGTCCCTAAACATGGGGAAAGTGACAAAGGTAAGGGAGAAAAGCTCTTAGCTTTACAGAAGACGATGCTAAGAATGTCTTACCATTTGATTGATTTGATGAATTAAGATTTTACACTTGGCTTATTTTACTCTTCCTTTCTTAAAGAAAGAAAACATTACACTTGTGTCCACAGTTGATCAGAGATTTGGAACGTTGAATTACAGTTGATCAGAAAAGTAGCTGTCAGTTATGCACATGTTACAGATGGCAACAGCTATAGTAGACCATGTAGAGCAGGACTGAATATTCTAGAAGGGATTTTATGGAATATAGTTTGCAAAGAGCAGTTAAATGGGAGGCAGGGAAGGAGTGAAGTTTCCAGTTCTACTGTAATGTGTTCTGTGTTACTGCTTGTAAGTCAGTTATAACAGCAGAACAGACTTTGATAAGAAACTTATGGCAACAGCAAACAATAAGAAAAATGGACTGGGTAGTAGTATCATTTAACTTGCTGTGTGATTGTGATCCTACAGGTTGTATAGCAGAGCAGACAGCAAATTAGTTGGAAGTAGGTGTGCTATAAAGTACACACATGAAATGTTTCTTTCCCTGGTTACCTATGGATGCGACCACAGTATAGTTTGGGTTTGGTTTTCGTAATACTTTTCCAGATGGCAAGCCTGCAAGTGTTGAGAGGCTTAACAGTTGAACAGCCTGGCTGTGCAGGCATGGAAGTGTTATCTCCAGGGAGAGAGGTGCCTTAGGGACAGGCAGAATCCAGGTGACAAGCACAACAGTATTCTTTGAGGTTGTTTATTTATGTTATTTTTTGCAGTGCTTATGGGATCTTATCTTTTAATTACTGTTACTCTTTTATTTATGTTTCATAGAATGATCACATCAAAGGAAATACTGGGGCAGTAGGGAGGCACCAGTGGTTTTGACAACTATTTTGGGTACAGCCAAATTTCTGAAGAAGGTATTGTTTGTTTCTGGCAGTTCAGACAAAGTTAAGGCTGCCTGGGACTATGTATGTGTTCACTTTCCCATTGGGTGCAGCAAATGGCAGGTATACGTAAAGTCCTTATTCTGTACTCACAGCCTTTTAATAATGTCTAACTTAATAAATAAAATAACTTTGTAGACTGTGAAGTTTACATTTTAAATTAATATAGGCAATAAAACCATCGTTATGTAAAGAATTAAAATTGGGTATGTTTCTTCCCCCCCCCCCATTCACTTGTGATCGTGGAAGCAGCTCATGTTTCCAAGTGTTTGTCACGATCCCTTTGACTGGAATTTACCATCTCTGCAGGTGTGCCAAAGGAGCAGCCTGTGAACTTTTTCTGATGTGCTAAAACTTTTCATCTAATGTGATGACATCTGAAGCAAGGCAGAAAGGGAAGGTCTTGTGTGGATTACTATTGCTTGGTAAAGATGGTAGCAAGTGATAGGAATCTAGAGGTGATAAAAGGTACTGAAAATGGTATTCTTCTGGTGTGGCTGATTTGGGAGGAAAGCAGTGTTTATGCTCTGTACTGTTACTTGCCAGCTTGAGATATGCATTAGTTTGCATTCTTTCAGTGTTCATGTATGTGTGTTGCCCTGATGGTGGTTCAGTCCTTGTACTGTTCCTGCTCCATCTGTTAGTCTAGGTTAATGGAGAAAAGGGCAAAATTGTAATCCAAACCACTTCCTAATAAGTATTCCATTTTGGTGAAGGGGCAATTTTAGGAATCTCTCTTGTGTGCTGGTAAGCAGTTCTGGGAACTTGCAGATTAAAATTGCTAAAAAGAGGATTGTAAAATTCACACTGGAAGAGCTGGGAAGCACAGATTGCACAGATAACCCTCTCCAGTGTTAGAAAGAAGATGAGTCTTCCCTTCCTGAGGGGGAGAGGTAAGCTGCTAATTAATATATTTACAGATTTTAATTGCTTGAAAGTC